TATAGACTTTTACAAAACATTTAAAAACAATTAATAAGTCCTATCTTTGAGATGTTTCAGGAGGGATATTGTAATGGTGGCCTACCAAAATCAATGACAAATGCTCTGAACTTTGTGTTACCCAAACCAGGGAAACCCAGCAATAAATGTGAGAACATGAGGCCAATAAGTTTGCTTAATGCTGACCTAAAAATGCTCTGTATTAGCAATACGTTTACAAGACTCACTTCCTACAGTAATACTTAGGGATCAAAATGGCTTTATTTTGGGACGGCAAGGTCTACACGATTCGAGGCGACTTCTAAACATTATTCAAGATTCGGGTATTTAAGTCAGGAACCGCATTTCTTTCTTAAGATGCCGAGAAGGGGTTTGACCGAGTCGAATTGCCCTATCTATTCAACATTTTAAACCGTTTTGGTTATGGAAATAATTTAAAAAATTGGGTACAATTATTATATTTAAATCCTAATGCAGAAATATTAACAAATAAAAATGTGTCTAAACCAATTACTATCAAACGATGATATCATCAAGGATGTCCTTTATCCCCCTTGTTGTTTACATTAGCATTGGAACCACTTGCTATAGCTGTAAGGTCCCATAAATCTATGGGACGGGCATTACAATTCAACAAATAGAACAGAAAATTTCATTATGTGCAGATTACATAAACCTGCTTATTTCAAACGTAATAGAATCTATTCCAAGCTTGCTTGATTTAATAGCGGAATATGGTCATATTTCAGGGTATAATATAAATAAAGCTAAATCTTCATTATTAATGTTGGATAGAAAAGAAATGTCCCCAGAAATAAGCTCAGAATTTAGGCTTGTTAGAGAATTCACATATTTAGGAATCCACATAATTTCAAACCTAGATATGATTGTTAAGAATTATGAACGTTTAACAAAAGAGATCACTGAAAATATCAATAGATGGATGCCCCTTCCCTTATTGGCAGGATTAATACTTACAAAATGAATGAATGAATCTAAATCTGTAAGTCCATCCTTACCTGTATATATTTTTTTCTGATTCAATCCCAGGACTGTTGGGGAAAACAGCTAATTATATTGTTAAAAACATTATCAAAATATGGTATGACATAAAAAAGTTCACAATAGAATCAGTTACACTATCACAATTTATTCCAATATGGGGAAACCAAGATTTTACTCTTGGAAGAGCAGACTCTGTTTTTGAAAAATGGGCTGCATAGGGAATAGATTGAATTCAAGACTTGTATCAACCAAATTCAACTTACATGATGTCTTTTGAAGAACTAAGGTAAAAATTTTATATAAATAGAAAATACTTCTTTAAATACCTTCAGCTTTGAAGTAATATTAGGACAAAGAACAAAGATTTAACTAAACCACCAAAATCCTTACTAGAAGAAATTATTAGCAATTTTATAGTTTCGAATTCCCCAGAGGACTCAACACAGAAACAAGAAGAATTAGATGTGGGGATAAAACCTGTCACTGGAAGATTGGCAGTCTGCCTGTATAAAGTCTCAAAAACAAACGGTTAACTCACGTTTAAGGTTACTGCAATACAAATGGTTATTGCAAATCTATGTCACACCAACCAATTTACATCGGTGTAATCCTAATATACCAGACATATGCACAAAATGTTGAGAAGAAAAAGGGACTTGGTTTCATTGTTTCTGGGAATGCAGGGAAATTCAGAAATTTTGGAAAGCAATAGTCAAAATAATGAAAGATTGTTTCAAAGGATGTTGCACTAGATCCACGTTTTCTAATTTAAGGTTTGTATCCAATAAATAATGTGTTTACTAAATGTGAACAGATGTTGATTGATATGTGTCTACTGCAAGCTAAAAGACTGATAGCACTATTCTGGAAGAATACCTTATTGACTAGGGACCAAACAATGGACCAGGCAAATGCTGAAAACGTTGCCTCTGGAATGCATAACATATCTCCAAAAAGGGAAAAGTGAATTATTTGAAAACATTTGGTGAAGCTTCTAGAAATTTGTTGAAGGAACGAACTTGTCTCAGGATGAAGAAGACGGCTAAAGTCAAGACTAACTTCAGAACAATTTCAAAACAAGGGAGCCTCAACGATGGACTATCACTTTCCATACACTAAAAAAAGAATATATGCAGATATATAACTAAGAGGGCGTTTGTTAATCTTGTTGTTTGTATTTTTTATATGGCAGATATGTTTGTATAAAACAATACAAATAAAATTAATTAAAAAAAAAGATGCATTTATGTCAATCAACTCTGGGACGTGATCTTAATTTAAATGGCAACAAAAAATAAAACCTGCTTTTTAATGAACCATGTTTAAGAACAAACAATTAAAATATAATAAACTAAATGTTTGCATCTAGTGGTATTACACTGTGAGCAAGGATTGCATTTGACGAAAAAAAATCCATCCATCCATCCATCCATCCATCCATCCATCCATCCATCCATCCATCCATCCATCCATCCATCCATCCATCCATCCATCCATTGTCTTGCACCAGACTGCTGCCTCCAGGGCAGCAGATGCCCAGACTTCCCCACCTCATCTGGCTCCTTCGACATTGAGGAGCAACGACTCTACTCCGAGCTTCTCCCAAAAAAAAAAAATCAAATTTTTCCTAAATCTAAATCTTCATAAACAGAAAATTGTGGTTAATCAATAAAATAGATTCATTGGCTAGTCCTACTTTAAAGATAATCCTCCAAATCTGTTTTGTAAAATGCATACATTTTACATTAGAAATATATTTCCTATGAGAATGATTTATTCACTCAACTCACAGTATGGATCTGGTCTGTGGATCCCTCCCACTGTGCCTTCTGGTAAGATTTGAAGATGGTAGCCAATCCCAGCCCGGCAGTAGAGCAGCATCTGTTTGACTGCTTCACCTTTATCCAAGAGAGATACCGGTAATTGACAATTTTGAGTGAAACAAAGAAAAGCTATAGTCTAGATAAAAAATAAAAAAACAACACCCACAAGACACCTAAACACATATGAAAACTTGAGTCACAAAATTGCCTATTACAACTCTCCAGGGTGTACCCCATGTCTTGCTAAGGGACCTCTGAAGAGGCACCACTTGTGACCCTGTATGGATAAGTGTGGATGGTCCCATATCCTTAATTAATGTGGATATTAAAATAATCTGTAAAGCTTTAGCAAAACGATTAGATAAGTTCACTCCTCTCATAATCCACCCTGATCAAACTGGTTTCATTAAAGGAAGGCAGTCAGCCACTTACACATGCAGATTGCTTAATTTAATTGATTATTCCTACAGTAAAAAAAATAAAATCCTACATATTGTCTTTAGATGCAGAAAAAGCGTTTGAACTGAATTTTTTTTATTTGTTACTCTACATAAATTTGGTTTTGGCAATTTCTTTATGAATTGGTTAAAAATCTTACATAGCTTCCCAGCAACATGTGTTAGGACAAATAATCAAACATCTTCCAGCTTTTGTCTCCAGAGGGGCACTAAGGCAGGGATGCCCCTCCCCCTCTTCTTTTTTGCCATTTTATGTGAAATAAACCTCTACTTGCTACAATCAGACAAACTAATGTGGTTAAATGTATAAAATGCAGGAAAATAGAGCATAAAATTAGTCTTTATGCAGATTATGTATTACTTTATCTCCAGCACTCAAACACTTGCCTCTCTCAAGTTATCAGATTTGTAGAATCTTTCTCAAAAGTGTCAGATTACTCTATAAATTTGTCTAAATCTATAGTACTACCAATTAATTACTTTCTACGGAACCCTTTAGGTTTACAACTACAATCAGGAAATATCAAATATTTGGGAATTACTGTGTCATCTAAATTAGCTGATTTACCAAAACTTAACCACGTCCTGTTTTTAAAAAAGATAGAAGAGGACCTAGAAAGATGGAAATCGCTTCCGATCTCCCTTATAGGTAGGGTAGCGTCAATTAAAAGATGAATTAACTACCTATTTTCAATGATCCCAATAAACCATCATCGGAATGGTTTAAATCTCTAGATTCTTCCATCTCTAAATTTCTTTGGAAAGATAAACCCCCTCTTATCAGCTTAAAGACATTGCAGAAAACTAAAGACAGAGGGGGGCTTCCAACACTACTACTTAGGAAATAGACTACAATATATCTCTAGATATATTGCAGTCGATTGATAAAACATAATCCCTTAGATGAGCCCTGGATAGACACAGAACAGGATATATGCAGTAATATCATAATTTCAGATTATTCGTTTATTAGCTCTAATATCAAGCAGCATTCATGTTTTAAAAATATTAACATCAGCTCTTTCCTGACAGCGGGGTGGGAATTTCTTAAAATGATGTAGTCATCGCTTATCCCGTGCAGTCGTACACCAATCTGGAATAATCCTGACATTCTACAAAACAATAATATGATAAACTTTCCGTACTGGAAAATACATGTCTGAAGGAATTTATTTGAAGTTTATCACTTTTGCAAGATTAAATATGCAATATGGCACTAACAAAAATAAAGTCTTAGAATATAAACAAATTAAATCTATAGTTAGAAATAAATTTAAGCATATTAATGGAGGTTTACAAATTACAAATAATATATCCTTGGGGGTGCAGTAAGCACCCCAGTCCTTTTCTCCCCATCCCTGGACTCCTCCCTCTGCCTGCTCCATCACACCGTGACACATGTAAGATCTTGGGGAAAGTGTTGTTACTGGAGGGTCACTCCTTCTGGTGACGTCCCCCACCCCAATTTTATGTTGCATTTAGACACTTTCATGTACAACATTTTTACCACAGACATCTATGTAGGGCATTGTCTTGAGGGGTGGGGGGCAAGGACACATGGGGGGGGAGCTTATTACAGTACATGGGCCTCACCTTGGTTGCCCCCCCACCACCTCCCCACCCCCTCTCGAATTTAGACGTTGAACATTTTGGGCTATTGATTGGGGGGGGGGGACTTAATTACACCTTAGAGCAACACGCGACAAGCCCCTGTTCACCCCTGTTCTCCGGCTGCCGTCCGGAGTCTGGGGCCTGGAGGAAGATTGAGCCCCCTAGTACGGGGGCTTGGCGGTGGGCTGTTGCCGGGGCTGGGGTGCCTGCCGGTGCTTGGGCTGTCATTTCTGCTCTCCCCAAAGGGTGTGGAGGGAGGGATGAATAGGGTTTTTAGGGGAGGGGTTAGTAGGGGGTTAGTAGGGGTTGGTAGGCCTGTGCAGGGCATGTGGGACGTGTCCCCTGGACAGTCTTCTTCATGTGGGACCTTTTGCTGGGGGTTGACTGGTTTGGGCACGGGTGTGGCACTGGGCCCGCATCAGGAACTAGATGGGTTAGTGTGGCGTTGACACCGCTCCACTCCCCCCATCCAGAGCCCATTTCCCCTCTGTCCTGTCCTGCCCTCCCTTACTGGTGGTGATCGATGTTTGGGGGTGAATGCCTGGGCGGGTGCTGGCCTATTCCTGGCGGCTGCTCCGTGGGACCTGGCCCGTCGGGGCCCGGACAGGGTTCCCGCCAGGGGGTGGGGCGCCCTGGTGCCTCGGGTCCCTGTGGTCCGTGGCTGGATCCACCTCTGGGTGGCTGGCTGCCAGCAGAGCCAGCGGATTCGTCCCCGCAGCTCCCGGTGGCTCTGGTATTAGGGTGGCTGGGGGATTTCCGCTGGGCTGTCTCTCCTCCTCCCTTGGCGGGGGGTCGGATATCCTGGGTTGGCTCCTCCTGAACGCCTTTGCTCTTGGGGTACCTTTGGGCATCTGGGGCTTTGGGTCCCCGGTGTTTGCCTTGGTGCTCTGGGGGTTTGCCTTTTCGGCACTCTTGGCATTTTTTCTTTGAATAAACTTTGCATGCACAAGAGAACTCTCACAAACAACTACAGGTGCTTGGCTCCAGGTACTTAGAGATTCACTTCCATACAGAAAGCCCATATTCTTATCTTCAGCTACCACAGTAATACATGTCAGATTAAATAATACTACCTATACTTCAGCGATAGTATCAAGGTGTTAGTCTTGTACCATGTCCGTTGGTTGTTCTGTTCTTTTTACATCTCTTTGCAGGTGATAAAGCAGACTGAAGATGTTTACTCGTTATCTCCCTTTTATCTACTCTTTCTTTTTTTCTGTTATTCCTTTCCTGTTCTACTTACTTACTTACTCTGTTTCTTACTGTACTACTCCATATAATCTGTAATATAATCTGCGTGAATTATAATAAAGCTATTTATATGCATAAATCAAGCGGAACACCATGGCGATAGCTGAACTGCTCCACTTGTAAAAGTAAAAGCTGTTGGGGTCTTTTTGGCATCAAGCCAATTATTGTTATTGCCACATTGCAAGACAGGACACTGTAAGAACAAAAAAATAAAAAATAAAGTGTGGATGGACGAATGAAAAATTAGCCCTATTTTAACATCAGGTTTAATGTTAAAATATTAAAATTAGAATTACCGTAATAAGCCACAAAGCTGCATTTATTCCCCAGAGATCCATCAGTTCCTTTTTAAAAATGTAGGTATTATGATATGCTGATGGTTTCCCTGCTGTTGAAATGTTTCCACTCTGTTCTAGCTGCTAGATAATCTTATCTGTCTGACCTCCACTTTGGTTGGATTTAAAGCTAAAACAAGTTCAGACTATTTGACCTAAATTGGATAACAAGCTGAATATGACTGCTTAAAATCAGTCTCACATTTATCAAATGTCTTATCATTCATCACAGTACAGGGATGCAGAGCAGTGTTTTAAAACATTTTGAAAGTTTTTTTTAATGAATAAATATAGAAAATATGATTTAATGATTAATTAAATGTGCTAATTATTTAAGTAGTTTTAAACAATTGGTGTAATTTTTCAAATTATTATAAACTGAGCCCTCTTTATACAAAGATATGAATACTTAATAAAACAGGTTAACTGTACTTAATGATTAAAATTAACTTTGTGCTTATTAAACACAGAAAGTAACTTTTGACTTATTGAAACATCAACATTTAGAGAACTATTGGTCAAGATTTTACAAACATAACTCGTATTGGGTGTCAGATAAATAGATGAATTAGGTAAGCCCTTTTGCATGCAAAGGTCCCTACCTATGAGGAAAAAAAAGCTTAGGATCATCCATAAAATCTGAAGAAAAAAACTACAACAGATTGGGAACCTAATATAAGAATGACCAGTTAAAGGTAACATCCTATATCATAAAAGCCCTCAGTATGGCTGATGGGCCTTTTCAAGGAAACATAGAGGCAAAGCTTAAATATCTTTTGGCTTCACATTAACAGCTACAGATAGTGATACCAAAGATTCTGATTCTTTTAAAATGATGGACTTACCTTTTCTTTTTAGCCTGGAATCCCTGAAATGCTGTTTCCAAAAACCCAGCAATTCGGAATCTTTGACCTCTTCTGATTTCTTTGCTTCTGCTCGCTGAAAATATGCAGTTAAAAGAAGCAGCAGAAGGCTAGGCAGGAGTGAGGAAACAGTCATTGTGCCATACATCAGGTAGCTAGGAGCAAACCCTACAGTGGCATCCTATAAGCACTAATGTGGGAGATGCACATAGTCTGAGACAGATGGCTGTGTGCTTTTAGATATGGAACCTTGATTAATGTTCTGCAGCCTTTTCTCCTTTATCAATGTCTACGTTTTACTTTACTGTACATACTGACACCCGAGACAGTACATCGTTATTATCAGGGCTGTATCAGAGATCCTGCCAACAGCACATTTAACAACACATGTGAGCACCAGTGTTTCTGGAAATAGCAAGATTGTTTTTTAGGTCAAACAGATCATCGCACATCATATAGCTTAGTGGGTCCTGACAGCAAATTAGTGCAGGAAGTGGAGACAAAACTTGACACCACTGTTTGAGTTTGTTGGCATGGTTGTGTTCTTATGTCATCAGAGGAGAAACTGGGGAGAAAGATGCAAACTGTCTGTTCAGTGTCACAGTCACTGAGATTAGAGAGCGAGCTATACCGATAGTTGGAGTATAAACTTAGAATGATGAGAATGAGCGCATTAAGCAGATATTAAAACTTATGAAAGAGCTGGAAAAAAACTGATCTAAGTAGGTTTGTTTCTTTTTTGCTCTGTCAGAATCGTGAGTTTAAAAGTGTGACTTCAGCTGATAATGATAACATGGTGTTCCTTTAGTTATTAATTCTATTCAATTCAATTCAGTTTATTTATATAGCGCCAATTCACAACAAATATCAAGGCACTTTACAGTTCACCAGATCATACAGTCAAATTGATTCAAAGTTTTCTATCTAAGGAAAACCAGTTGATTGCATCGACTCATTGATCTGAATGCAATCCCTCACACTAAGTGTGCTTCTTAGAGGAAAAACACCCTTTTAACAGGAAGAAACTTCCAGCAGAATTAGACTCAGTGTGAGCGGCCGTCTGCTGAGGCCGACTGGAGTTCAAATAGACAGAAGCAGAGATACAAAAAGCAACTTATCCAGGAAATACACAGCCAGGCAGACGAGCTCTGAGCCAGCTCCCATGTCAGAGGATGAAGAGAGCACATCCAGCCAGTCACAGTCAGAAAAACAGGACTAGACTGAAAAACAGGCCGATCTCCAACATCTATAAACAAAGCTGTTGATGGAAGCAGCACAGCTAACATTTTTCTCAAGGATAGTGTCACAGCCAAATAATAACAGACGAGGCAAAGCTACTATGAGAAAAAGCAGAGAGAGCATAACGTTAGAGATTGAACTAACAGATTCTTCACAGTGGGAGAATAGAGATAGATTGAAGCAGAATTAGGAAATAGCGGTCCCCATGTCCTCAAGAAGTCTAAGCCTATAGCAGCATAACTATAGAGATAGCTCAGAATAACCTGAGCCACTCTAACTATAAGCTTTATAAAAAAGGAAAGTTTTAAGCCTAGCCTTAAAAATAGGGTATCTGGGCCTGGTGTCTGCCTCATGGACTAAAACTGGTAGTTGGTTCCACGGAAGAGGAGCCTGATAACTATAGGATCTTCCTCCCATTCTTTTTTTAGAAATTTTAGGAACCACTATACATACAGGAGTATGGCAGCAGGTCGGTACTGTAGAAAATGCATACCAACTCAAATACGGAAAACTTTGGTGGAATCAATAGTTTTTTGTCATCTTGACTGCTGTTCCATAATTTGTGCAACAACTACAGGAAATAACCTGAACAAATTACAGGTTGCACAAAATAAAGCAGCTCGGCTTGTTGTAAACTGTTCTTTTAGAACAATTGTTAGAGATATTCACAACTAGTTAGCATGGCTCCTTGTAAGGAGCAGAATCAAATATCCTTTAATTAAATACTTGTGACATGTAATTATTACAAAAGCAACTGAAATTATTCATAACAGATTGACTTTTTTTTATGACATTCATAATTATTCCACTCGTCAATCAAGTGAAAGACGTTTTTGGTTACATGCCTGTTAAACAAATCAACTTCAGAGAACATAGTGTTATAGGGTGATGATGGCTGGAACTCACTCCTGCAATTCTTATTTTCAGAGATGTACAATGTTATGTTTTCCAAAAGGCTTAGACTATATATTTACTTTGGAGTAACATTTATGGAATGAAGTAATTCATAATGAGCACTAGTAACTGGAATGTTACAGAATCCCCAGAGATTGGTCATGTTTTGTACATAGAATAGCTCATACTATATGATTTGTATCTGTGTGTATGTTATATATATGTATGTATGTGAAGTTGTATTGTTGTGTGTGTGTGTGTTTGGGTGGGGGGGGTTACTTCTGTGTTTGGTTTCATTGTTACCCAGTTTTAATGTAATATCTGTAAAAATGTTAAGACCCCAAGAAGAATAGCTACTGCTTTGACTCAATAAACAATAAATTTAGCAAACCTGCCGATTGAGAGCGATTTCTAATTTTTGCAATATTCTGCAGATGAAAGAAAGTGATTCTACAAACTTCTCCAAGATCTAAATGACAGATCCTCATCAAAAATAGCACCAAGATTTTTAACTTTATTATCTGAAATCAGTTTAATCTCATCCAAATGAAGTGACTGACTAATCAGCCTCTTTTTCAAAGACTCTGGTCCAAAGACTATAATTTCTGTTTTGTCTACATTTAGGAGCAGAACGTTAAGAGTCATCCAGGTATTCATATCTTCAAGACATATTGGTATCTATATCTATATCTATAAATTATTAAATAAACATAATACAAAAGGTTTAGCTTGGCTAGAACCGCTGACTTGGCAACGATGTTTAAGATGGTTGCACTGACAACAATTCATTAACCTCATACTGTTGATAAAGAATAATTACTTTTGTGACTGTGAAAAAACATCTGTTTAAAGCAAAACAGGAGCACTAAAATATTTCCAGGGCCTTGGAGTACATGAAAAAATCAACTAATAGAAATAATACTGCTGAAGTGAGGATAGCAGGATAACTGAATGCAGAAAAGCCCTTGCTTTTAATGAATATACTCATATTCTGATATCCAGCCCCTCATAGTTAACCGTGTAACAACTGTGTTTCACTTGGTGCTACTTGTTTTCCTAGACTCCCATAAAAAGATTGGATCAAATTAATGGTAAATACAGGAAAATACAGGAAACAGTCCTTTAAAATATTTTGGAGCATAAATGTACAGATAAACAGTTAGAATTTAAGATATATCAGTGTAGTATACTATTAGAACGTATCCTAGAGTCACATCGCTTTTATGTTTAATGGAGCCTAGGCGGAAATTCAACTGAAGAAACTCATTTGCTTTTCATATATCCACCTGCAACAACGATTAGCTTTGAACCACACCTCCAAAAAAACCAATCGGCATCCAAAGTTTATCTTAAAAGGCCTCCAATACGCACTTGTCTGCTCCTGTGCCCTCCATTTATAGCGACACTTGTTTTTACCTTAATTGTGATTTTTAACTGTTTTGCGTCAATGTTTGAATTGTGTAGATAAAGTGTTAAGTCAAAAAGTAATTTAGTGACCCCGTAGGAAGCTATGTGTCTGCTGCGCCTGTCTGGTTGGGGATTATGTAGCTCACTGCATTCATAATCTCTCCTTCTAGTTTCAGATCATCATCAACTGCATGTCTCAACTTCAGAATAGTCACAGGCATTCCCCTCAGCGTATTGTTTCTATCTAAATCTGCACCATGTTAGACACGTTTCATCGTGGCGGGTGCCCTAGGCACCCTCCATCCATCGCAATATGTCATGACGCAGCATGTCATGACGCCCTCTATCACTGCGTCAGGAGGTTATGGTGCCAGATACACAGGGTGCCCTCCATCTAGTGGCGGGCGCCTACGTTCCCCTTCTTCTATCGCTGCAGGTACTCATGGTGCCTTTTCCTACCGCTGCCTTTTCACGGCAGCTTTTATCATCGCTGCAGGTGCTATGGCACTTTTCATTGCACGCCACTTCATGGCACCCCTTTTATCATTGCTACTAGGTTATGGCACCCCTTTTTCCTTTGCTATAGGTACTTGGCGCCCTCCATCATCGCTACAAACGCTCCTGGTGGCCTCCATCCATCTCTGCAGGAGCATCATGGTGCGTTATATCTGTTTCGGCGAAAGTTCTGGCAACCATTCTCAATCGCTACAGGCACTCATGCAATCATGGCGCCTATAATCTTCGCGGCGGGGCCTCATCGTGCCTATCATTGTGGGTGTACATGGCGCAGAATCACGGCGGCCATTTTATGCTGCTTCTAGCAACGTGACGGGCATTTTATGCCGCCTTCTAGTATCGCCTCATGGCACCTATCATTGTGGGCGTTTATGCCAGCAGCATTGTGGCGGGCATTTTATGCTGCCTTCTAGCATCATTGCGGGCACTCATGGCCTCCATCACAGCCAGTCTATTATGGCCCCCAGGTCTTTGCCTGATGGTTAAAAGCCCGATGTGCTTTAAACCATTGCAGCAGCGCTTATGGCGCTCTGTTTTCATTGCAGCAGGTGCATTACGGCCCGTCAGCTCATTGCTCCAGGCACATAGCACCCAAACCTATTCATGCGTTCACATCCCAGGCACTTTGCTTTGAACCCCTTAGCATCATGGATCACGAATTTCGACTGAAACATCTTGCTTAACCATTGTGGCTTGCTTGTTTCATCTTTGGTCATCGCGGCTTAGCTAGATCATTGCGTCCTCATCTCACTTTCTCAGCTCATCGTGGCTCTCGTATCATGTCCCCAGCTCATTCCTACACGGGTGTGTGTTCTCTGCTCGATATCAATAGGTTTTGGGGGGGGTTCGTTAAATAATTGGTTCGCAGTTCATGGCTGCTACCCTCATCATTTCTAATTCTCTAATGCTTAGTGAGGTTTACCCATTAGCTGAAGCTTGCGTCGTCAGGCCATTGATTTAAATGGAGCAGCCGCAACAGTGATCCGTGGCGTCTCCTTGAGTTTCTTAGCAACGGGGCTGATGGTCTTCAGACTATGCCTCATATATCCGCCCTGAGTATGCATTAATCTTTCTGAAGTATTCAACATTCTCTCAGCCTTTAGGGTAAGCTAACTACAAAAACTGGTGGTGGTTTCAGAACTCATTTATATCCTTCATCAGATCTGAATGTTTGATTATTTCAGTTGTGTTTATAACCCATTCTCATCACTCATCTCTCTTCTGTAATTTGTCATACCAGATGGTTTTATACCAGGCTCTCTTCTATCATTCATCCTCTCATTCATCACAGCATCATCCCCTCATTCATCCCAGCAATCATCCCATCATCATTCACCTTACCTCACCATCCCTTCACAAACTTTTGGTAGGCCTTCGCTGCAACTGGCCCTCATTTGGTAGGCCTGACCATGCTGTCGTATTGGCCTCAACCTCAGCAATTTTTTATTTTTTTTTTGGGGGGGGGGGGCAGCCCTATTTTTTGTTCCTGTTCATGCATATCTATCAAAATTAAGATCTATGTTTCCTGCCTAGGTCTGAGCGGCAAAAACACAGTTATTGTATCAATAAATATCTCTTGTCTCTTCTCTTTGTGTGAGTCTTTCAGATTGAAACGGAGCCTAGGCAGAAGTTCAACTGAAGAAACTCATTGCTTTTCATACATCCAGCTGCGACACAGCCAATAACCTTTGAACCACACCTCCACGAAAGCCAGTCGGCATCCAAAGTTCATCTTACAAGGCCTCCCCTCCTCGACCTTCAAAGCTAAGCTTCATCAGAGTGTCATTCCTCCCGAACTCTTACAGCGTTCCCTGTCTCATCTTAACCGGACCGGCCAAAGACCGCCATGTTGAGCCTGGTTCTGCCAGAGGTTTCTTCCCTATGGGGGGAGTTTTTCCTCTCCACTGTCGCTCCATGCTTGCTCATCATGACAGGTTCTCTCAACCTGTGTTATCCAAACTGGACTTCCATCTTCCAGGTGCCTGAGTAAGGCTCTAGAATCAGCTCACACAATCCTCTGGATCTCCCCATAAAGCTCAGCATACCATCTCGCTAACCAGCAGTCTAAAGACTAACCAACTTCATCTATCTCCACTCCACCACCAGGTTCAGGCCTGGGGGGAAACGGCCCTATTCTTTGCTCCTGTTCATGCATATCTACCAAAATTATCTGCTATTTTTCCTGCAGGGGTCTGAGCACCAAAGACAAAGTAATTGTATTAATAAATTTCTCTTGTCTTTTCTATTTGTGTGAGTTTTTCAGATTGAAATAGAAATAGAACTGAAGGTTGGAATGAAAGTGGGCTAGTTTGACTGGACCAGATAGAGTTGCAGATATCTCCTTTAAAAAGAAAGATTTATTTCACTACTCTTTTTGTGTTGGCCTGTGCTTCTTATTGGTTGTTGGCAATTAGTTACCTTAAATGCATCCAGATTTTGATGTTGTGTATCAAAAGTGTATGAGCAACAGAGTGAACTCTGTTGCTCATACACTACTGTCACTCAACACCCGCCGACCATGATGGACAGATTTAAAAGCAATTCTCTAATCACTGCCATTTTATATTTAATTTCTCAGATTTTTTTTTTTTTATTTATTTACATTTTTAGCAGATCCAAAGCAACTTAAAAAGTAGGCAACAGCATACAGAAGGGTCTTGCATAAGACAGCCCCCCCCGAGCAGGGATTTGAACATAGGGCCACTCTGTGCAAGTGGGGTAACTTACCACTTGAGTTAGCCAGCTGACTTTGATTTAGTGATGAATACTGAAACATTTATTATAGTGGGACATTCTGACATTTATGATAACACTGAATGGATAAAACTGTAATTCTGAGCCTTTTTAAAGGAGAGAGTGGAGATTAGATCACTCTTCCCTCCTGAAGGACCTGTAAAACATGTCTGGTAAATGCATATATCATCACTGCATAAATAAAAACAGGCAGACATAATCAAAGGTTTAACTTTATTGCGACCACTTAGCATTCATTACATAAAATGTTAGAAAAATCCCCTTTCATTCCCCTCCCTCCTTGCCACAGTGAGCTTTAAGTTCAAAACTAATTAGACCTTCATTAAAGGTAGGCTTCAAGCTAGTGTCTTTTGTAAGAACCTCATATGACCATTACAGAGTGCAGTAATTGTGCCATTAAAAAAGCTATTCATCATTTATTAAAATACAATAAATTATGTAGTAACCTTTTCTGAGGACTTTCATTAATATAGAGTGCTAAAAGCATTGTAAGTGTAAATCTAAAATGTAAAATTACTTCTATAAACATCTTATAGCAAGTTTTGTAAAAGTTAGTCTAAAAATTCCTTAAGAAGCATAAAATAATGAATTGATTTGATCCCCTTTATCTTGTTGCTCCTCCTGGTCATCCCTTTTTCACACACTACTGCATATTGACTGACAGCTCCCTCCACATCATTAGGCATTTATACATACTAAATATGAAATACGGCCTACAAGTTGTAGGCCAGGCAAAAGCAATAACGGCATCTTAGATCCAATTGATTGTTCTCAAAATATCGACAAACAGCTGGAAAATTGTCTTAATCCTACATTAACACCATGTCTAAATACGTTTTTTTGTTTTTACAATCCTGCCGTCTCTCCATTTTAAAATAACCCATGAGTTTATTCTGAGTTATGTTAAAGTAAATCTTGACAGACAAAATCTAAATTTCCTTATAACTTAAGTGCTACAAATCTATCCATTGCAGCTTTATGGCTTCCTGGAAATAAGTGGGATATGAACAGGCAGAAAACTGCTGTGTGACATGGGGCATAGTTTGTAGCTCCTGTTCTCTTGCATCATGAAGATCTTGGGTGTGAACCTTTCTGCAAGTTGCTTCAGCTTCTTCCCAGTGTATAAAACGTAACAGCAACGTTAATTGGCGACTCCAAATTGCCCCTAGGTGTCAGTGTGTTGCCCCTGTTATGGACTGGTGTACCCCACCAGTCCAACATTTTTACTGTGTTTCCTTGTGTAGGCAAGATTATTCATTCTCTACTTACAGTACGTGAAGTAATATTTCCTCCAAAACTTTATAA